AATGGGGAGGGAGCGGGGCTTAGCATGTACCTCAGTGGTAGAGCACTTGCCTAGCATGTGTGAGGCCCAGCGTTGGGAAAAAAAGAAAAGTAAAAAATCCTAGAAAGGCATTTTAATTCAAATCCTAATAGCTTCAGGAGCTTTCTGACCTGGAAGAAAGGGAAAATGATGCTCTGGAGTCACCATTGGAGAAGCGAAGCCTGAAGTTCTTCTGTGCTTTAGAGGTGGTGTTGCCATCCTGTGCATGCAGGAGTCCGGGAGTAGGCATTGTGGAGGAACCTTTGGATCAGCAGGAGGAAGGTCTGTTCTCAGTTGGGGAAGGGAAAGAGAAGGGTCTCTCTTCTTTCTAAAGCTCACTTTTTAGCTACCCATCAAGTCCTTCACTTGCTAAGCTACTAAAAATCCTAGGAAGAATTTTTGTGCCTTACAATACAGTTTTTCACCTTGGGCAATACCTAACAGAACCTTAAAATTTAAAATTTGAGACCGACCTCCTGCCAAGAAGCTTAGGAAGAGGAAAGAGATAATGTTTCTCCAGTTTTGAGTTGAGAACTTGCTTTATGCTAAAATAGTTCTTCAACTATAGATTTCTTGTGGTCTTCACTTACCTCAGCTAATTTTAGATAAGATTTTCATACACTTATATAAATATTCAGTCCTTTTACTACTCATGAAGGGTCTTGAGCAGAAAAAGAATCAAAGATACCTAGAAAGGATACTGCAGTTTATAACTGAGTTTTTCTAGAATCTATGACACTCAGGCTTAGGGTTTTAACTCAGAGGCAAGGCTGTTAGTGGAGCTGAGTAGGCTGCTGTGGCTGAACACAGGTAGGAACCAGGCCCTGCATTTCCACCAAATCTTTCTCAGGGTGTAATTCCGGTCCTGATGCATTGGAGGCTAGGGTCTTTCAGAGTGTAACTTCCAGTTGTCCATTTAAAATCTGAGTGATGTGAGACTTATGTCAACTTCCTGGCTTGGATATCCCTTCTAGCACATCAAGAACTTCCATATTAGATTGGGGCAGTGAAAATGGACCCTATCAGGATGCACCTACAACAGCCATTCAACAAAACCCATGTGGTATGCTGCTTTTAATTGCAAGGATAGGGCTGGGGATGTGGCTCAAGCGGTAGCGCGCTTGCCTGGCATGCGTGCGGCCTGGGTTCGATCCTCAGCACCACATACCAACAAAGATGTTGTGTCCGCCAAGAACTAAAAAATAAATATTAAAAATTCTCTCTCTCTCTCTCTCTCTCCTCTCTCACTCTCTCTTTAAAAAAAAATTGCAAGGATAATGATCTCAGAATTGTGGATGTATTTTTTTATATATTTTTTTAGTTGTAGATGGACACAATATCTCTATTGTATTGTTTATTTTTATGTGGTGCCAGGGATCGAACTCAGTGCCTCACACGTGCTAGGCAAATGCTCTACCACAACTCTCTACCACCGTGCCTAGCTTGTATCTTAGATTTTTAAAGTAATTTAGGTTTTATAGTCAGACAGATTTTAGGTATTTAATATCTCTAAATTGCAATCTCATTATTATAAAATAGGGCTAGTAATTCTGCCTACCTTATGGGGGATATTGTAAGAATAAATGAGATTATAAATACATATTTTAAATCCATTTGTTTTGGTTGGATTTAGGACCATTATCATTCCTTATGAAAAGAAAGAAGGCCCAGAAGCTTGCTGTTCAGAAGGCTTTATCAGATGCATTCCAGAAACTGTTCATTGTAGTTTTAGGTAAGACTTCTTTGTCCTTGAAGTACTTCAGTTTCAATGAGCAAATAAACTCATTTTGAAAGTTAATTGGATGAAAATGTGGATATCTAAAACCTTCCATATAATGCTTTCATTCACTAAATTCTTTCATAGCAATGGTCTCAAATTTTCCTGTGATATTTGTGAGAAAAATGACTGCAAATATTATTGTCCCCAGTTTATGAATGTAGAACAACTTGCCTAAGCTCATGCAGAAAGTATTTGATCCAAGTCTTCCTTCTCATTTGCTTGCCTGTCATACAGAATAGTGATTATAAGTTTTGGACACCTGGGTTTGAGTCCTAACTTAGGTTTTTTGTTTTGTTTTGTTTTATTTGGTGGGGGGATACCAGGGATTGAACCCAGGGGCACTCGGCCACTGAGCCACATCCCCAATCCTTTTTGTATTTTATTTAGAGACAGGATCTCACTGAGTTGCTTAGGGCCTTACAGAGTTGCTGAGGCTGGCTTTGGACTTGAGATCCTCCTGCCTCAGCCTCCCTAGCTGCTGGGATTACAGGTGTATACCACCATGCCTAGCTTGTATCTTAGATTTTTAAAGTAATTTAGGTTTTATAGTCAGACAAATTTTAGGTATTTAATATCTCTAAATTGCAATCTCATTATTGTAAAATAGGGCTAGTAATTCTGCCTACCTAATGGGGGATATTGTAAGAATAAATGAGATTATAAATGTAAAAAGTTCAGAACTATGCTTACATGATAAGCAAACATAATATGTTCACTATCATTGAACCATTTGTACATTTTTGTTTACGAATATTTCCTATGTCATTATTTCTTAGTTCCTATCTCTAAGATCACAGCATTCTTTTAACCAAACATTGTTGATACTTCATTATGTATTTTTAAACAAATAGTTATGTTAAGACTGATGCGTAGGTGAGGACATTTCTAAGAAATGCTCTTATTTTCTTTCAGAAATCAAAGGCATGTCTCATTAGAGTGCTACCATGGTGTGCAATAAGTTTTAGAATAAGAAAAATTCTGAATTAATTCTTGTAACTTTATTTCAGAGAGTGGTAAAATAGCTGTGGTATACAGACCCAGTGAAGAGATCAGAGTTGCCAGAAATGAAGAAGAACTACATGATATAATTCAAGTATGTGAAGATGAAAGCTCAGGGGTTCCATAGTCAGTGTAGCCATGATTGAAAACAACCAGTGGGCTGGGTACAGGCTGCTGTAATCCCAGCAGCTTGGGAGGCTGAGGCAGGAGGATCATGATTTCAAAACCAGCCTCAGCAACTTAGCAAGGCCTTAAGCAACTCAGCAAGACCCTGTCTCAAAAGAAAAGAATTTAAAAAAAAAAAGGCTAGGTGGCCTGGTGTTATAGCTCAGTGGTAGACCACTTTCCTAGCATGTGTAAGGCACTGGGTTTGTTTCTCAGCACCACATATAAGTAAATAAAATAAAGATTCACTGGCAGCTAAAAATATTTTTTTTAAAAAAGGGCTGGGAATATGGCTCAGTGGTTGAGCGCCCTGGTACCATAAAGAAAAGAAAAGAAACCAGTGTTATTGAAAGACTTTAGCATTTCATCATGTATCATTCTTAGAAAAATGAAACCCTAAAACTGCTTTTGATTGTAGGGGATTTATGGACTTCCTGACCCATTGTTTGAAGTTTAGAGAGTAGAATTGAGACCTTTCAAGGGACTACTGTAGTTATAGACTCAAAAGAGGAGCTAGGCTCCCTTTCTAGAGTTAGAGAAAGTGATCTGCTTGTCTTTTTAGATTTTCCTTCAAGTAGGATCCCAGAGATTTGGCAACAGAGAAACTACAGCCTTAGCTTTGATTGTGTTGTAGCTTTGAGAACTATTATGCCTCTAAAATGTGGTGTGTTACCTAAATCTCAACATCTCCCTATACTCAAGTAGAATATTTTGCTGAATATTTTTCTGTAAATCAATTATATGAAAGCCCTTAACTAGGGAGTAAGTTGCCAAAGTAATTTCTAGATTAGGCATTATTTACTATGTATAAGATATTTGGGGGAGGCACAAAAATATGTTTTATGCGGGGGGCGGGGGGATTAATTTGGAGATTTTCAATTATATGACTCTCTTCAAAAATGTGGGGTGTTTTATTTTGAAAAGGCAGAGGAAGTGGGTTGCATTCTGAAACAGTATTTTAAGTTATTTCCATGTAAAAGTTTTAGTTCAATTTAAATAAAACCAGTTAAGGAAACTTAACTTTAAGAAGTCTCAGTTCCTGTGAAATGTGAAAGGAAGTAAGTCCACACTGACTGTAGAAATCCCATTATAAGAGCAGATCCACCCCTTAAGGAGGTGACTTTGAAAACCATTACTATGTGCTCAGCCATATGCAAGGCACTGGAAATAAGAAGATGACACATCTTTATGTACTAGAGTTGTGTCAGGTAATAAGTAATAAAACAGATTACTATAAGGGCTCTGAAAAAAAAGTCATTTGGGTTCTAGTCTTAGTATTTCAAGAAAACTATTTAAGTTGCAGGCTTTAACATCCTGCCTTCTCTAGATATGTGCACATGAGTCACCTCTAAAAAAGTGGTGTTGTCACGCCTACATGAGCCAAGGTGGGAAGGAGATGTTTTCCCATGCCAGTGTAAAGGGCTGTCCACACGGATTCACACCCCCTTTCTCAGACTGAATTGCCCACTGCCTAAAACCCCTCCTACAGAAATTTCGGAGTCATCATTGATTTCAATGGTAGCCCCAGCCTAACAGAGTGATGAATTAATTATCAAACATGAAATAGGATATAGAGAGTTTAGAGCAAATGGCAACATTTTGGAATAAATAACCTTAATGTGTAGTCTGCCTGTTAACCTAACTGGCCCTCGTTTTACAGGTCACTTGCTTCTCTTGGAAGCAGTATAGCCAAGGGGAGGAAGAATATCTCTCGGATTTCAGCCTGGAAGAGGAAGAATTCAGGCCGCCAGAACTGGACTAGCACTACTGAATATCCCCAGAGGCTCAGTCCTGTGACTTCCTTGGGAATCTCTGCCGCCCCCCACCCAATGGGCTGCTAGAGTCCCAGGGCCACCCACATCTAGGGCCCAGATCCTGCTTCGATGTAGGGGAGGGGGGCTGTGGGAGTCGATTGTGGCCCCTGCTGGGGGAAGGGAAGCTTGGATTGGTTGATTGTGGGAAAAGGCTCCCCGTCTGAGCGAGCCTAATAAAGGTTGAGTCTAATAAAGGTTGCGTAAACAAAGGTGTCATAAATAAAGGGCGGGGCGGGGCCACGCGGTTGCCCAGGCGCGAGCGTCAAGGGGCTGCCATAACGGTTAGGCTCGGCTCCCACAGGCGCGGCCCGGCGCCCCATTGGCCTGGGTCGCTGCGCCCCGGAGCCTCCGCATGTCATGTCCCTGCTGCGCCTCTGGGCACCACGGCTTCTCCTCACGTGGCAACCATTGTGGCTGCTGGTCCAGGCAGCTCAGCCTCTGGAGTCGACCCAGGACCCTCTCCAGCTGACCTCTGAGCACCCAGGGCCTATCAAGCCCTGGTCTCTGCACTCCTCTGAACTCCCACCCTTATCGCCCCATGCGCTTACACCCCCGGCAGACCCGGGAGGCTTTGATGACCTGGGGTCCTCTGCTCGCTCCCAGATGTTGGACTCGCCACAGAAGTTAACTGACAGTTTGCTTCCATTCTTGGGCAGGGATTCACCTGGAGAGCCGCCCCCAGAAGTAGATCAGTTTGCTGTTCCACGTCAGGATCTGCATCAAGACAAACTAATTCGGCAAGAGAGGCTCCCAGAATTGGTTCCAATGCTAGATGGGGATCAGAATCAGGTCCTAGCTCTACCTTCTCGACTCAAAAGTAAGATTCATACTGTCAATCTAGATCAGTCTACAGATCACCAGTCATTTGAAGTACTTGTTCCACCTCTAGATAGCCAGAGTTCAAAAGCAGCAAAGTTTATTGTTTCACCAGTGAATCTGAAGAAGGATGTAGCTCAGCATCGGAGATTTGCTAAAGTTGTTGGTAGAACTCCAAAGCAATTTGCAAAACTTCAGCTTCAAAAAAACTTGCAGGATGATTATGTATATCCAAGTACAGATGTAGCTTATTCTGGCAACCTACCTGCGGAATCCCAGGAGAACTCAGATGAGTCTCCAGAAACTCCTGACCAGGTTGAACCTTCTCTGGAGGCCCAAGAGACTCCTGAGGAGCTCCAGTCCTCTTCATCCCAGCAAGAAGTTCCTGAGGACCAGGAGGCTCTAGGAGGTGAAGCATCAATGCATCATAAACTTTCATCTCTAAGAAGTGACACTCAGCCAGTTGTCACAAGTAAACCTGCAGATCTGATTACCTTAACTCCGCAGGCAGATAAAGAGATTCACCTTCCTTCAGGCCAGGAGCAGGCCCCAACCCAGCCTTCAGAGGGTCTTGAAGTAGTAGAACCTTCATCAACCCAACAAGAGGCTCCAGCTCAGACTTCAGAGCTCTCTGAACCCTCTTTAGCTGAGCAAGAGACTCCAGTTCAAGCTCCCAAGTCCCCTATGGAGAATATAGCTGAAACTCTACCAACTCTACCTGTAATTCCATCTCTAGGTCAGGATCAAGTTCATTATTATAACTTGCCCAGTGTTACAGGTAGGCCTGCAGACGTGGAAATAACCATAACTTCGGAACCTACGAAGGAGGCCGAATCTTCTCTAGCCCAGCAGGAGGCCCCAATTCAGCCAGAGGCCTCTGTTCAGGAGGCCCCAGTTCAGCCAGAGGCCCCAGTTCAGCCAGAGGCCCCAGTTCAGGAAGCCCCAGTTCAGGAGGCTCCAGTTCAGGAGGCCCCAGTTCAGCCAGAGGCTCCAGTTCAGGAGGCCCCAGTTCAGCCTCCAGAGTATGCTGAGGAGGTAGAACCTTCTCTAACCCAGCAAGAGACCCCAGCTCAGCCTCCGGGCCCTCCTGTGGAGACTGAACCTTCTCTCAGTGAGCAAGAGACCCCAACTCAGCCTTCTGAGTCTCCTGGGGAGGACCAGTCTTCTGAAAGCCAGCTGGAAGTACCAGTGCAACCTCTAGACTTGCCCAGTGTGACCGGTAAACCTGCAGATGTACTAATTACTATAACACCTGAACCCACTACAGAGGTGGGAACTTCTGTGATCAATGGTGAGGCTATAGTTCCTCCCTCAATTCCAACTAATGAGTTAGGACCTTCTGCATCCCAGCCTGAAGCCCCAACTGTGCCTCCAGAGCTCCCTAACGAAGTAGGTCAACCTCCAGAAGGTGAGGATGTGACAGGTTCTTCTCTAGGTTCTGATCAAGCTGAGTCTCCTACTCCAGAATTGAATAATGAGGTTGAAACTTCAGCGCAACAGGAGACCCTAGATGAGTCCTCAGTGTCCCCTGAGCAGTTGGAACCTCAGCCAAGCCCCCCTCTAGAGGAGGAACAACCTCCAATTGGTCAAGAGGTCCCCAGTCAGCTTGAAGAGCTGCCTGAGGAATCTTTATCAAGTCAGCAGGAGAGCTCATCTCTGCCCTCAACGCCCCCCGTGAGTGTTGAACTTCCACCAGTCCAGGAAACACTCCCAACTAAACCTCCAGAATCCACATTTGTCCCGACTATTGCTTCATTCAGTGATTCCATGTCATTTTCACCTCAAGATCTAGAAGTAATATTCAGAAGTGGGTCTTCATATTTGCCTAAAACCACAGTTCAACATGTGGCTCTGGTAGTTACTGTACCTTCAGAAGCCACTAAAGAAGTTGAGCCAGTTTCCACCCAGCAAGTTACATTTTATCCAACCCAGTCTAATGCCCCTTCCCAGTCTCCAGGATTCCCTGAAAACTTTGGATTTTCTTCAGCCCAACAAGCAACCACAACTCAGATGGAAACTTCAACTCAGGTCCTAAGTCAGAATAAAGCTCAGGATTTAACATCACCCAGTGTTACATTTCAACCTTTGGATCTGGAACTCACCTCAACTCCAAAACCCACTGAACATTCTACAACTGAGAAGAAGCCTGTAGCTCTTCCATTATTCCCTATGGCTATTGGAACGTACCATATATCTCTTCCAACGGTCCCTGTATTTGTTTTTCCAACCATGAAGGAAACTTCAACTTTGCTTACAACGTATCAAGAAGGAATAATTCCAACACAAGAAACTTCAACTCAGCCACAGGTCCTAAATGAGAATCAAGTTCATTTTTCAACAGTACCCAGCTTTTCATTTAAACCTGTGGAACTCCCCATAACTCCAAAGCCCAATGTGGTGGCTGAACATCCTCTACAGCCCCACCACGTGGAAATCCACATAACTCCAGAGCCCAATGTGGTGGTTGAACATCCTCTACAGCCCCACCACGTGGAAATCCC